GTGCCCCAATCTCGAACCCGGTTTCTGCCTCAGGGGCTTCTCTGTCACTGCCTGCCAGAGGCTGGTGTGGCCGCCAGCCTGGTCAGCTTGCACTTGTGCAGGGGCGGAGCCCAGCCTGCCAGTCAGCTCACAGCCTGATTGTGCCCCCTGGGAAGTGTGGCCTTTTTATAAGAGAGACCCTGGGGTCCCCTCCCTTCTCTGGCCCTTGGCCTTCCTGCTTGCTGTGTCTGTGTCCCAGGGTGGCCCCAAGTGGGCTGCCCAACCCTCCCACTAACCTTGGATCCACGTGGCTCTGCACCTGCCGCCCGGCCTGCGAGCTCCCTGGTTCCCGCTGCACCTTTCTGCCTCCTCGGCCTGCAGCTGCGGGAGTCTGGAGTTGGGCCGGGCTGGCTGGGCGGCCTGCTTGATGTCAGATTGCATCTCGACGTGAAGCGCTTTCTTACATACAGATGAGTGTCTCTGGTTCAGCTTCTCTAAGTCCTTTAGAGAAGCAACAACCAGTGGTGCATCTCTGTGCGTCTAGAGAGAGACGCAGACAACAGCTCGCGGGATCGTAGGAATGGGCAAGTCCAAGTCCGAGGGCCGGTGTCAGGCTCCCAGCCTCTGACTGGCTGCGGGCTGACAATGGGCAGGAGCCACACGCGTGTTTGGCTGCAGGGGCTGAGTCCAAGGTCGGCAGGTCACTGACAGCTCCCAGGGCTGGCAGGCAACGTGGCAGACCATTGGCCCACGTCCGGGAGCTGGAGGTCACGGCCCGGATTCAGGACCCAGACCCAGCAGGACAAGAGCAGGCTTTCCCACAGTGCCCGTGCTCCCGACAATGAGTTGCGTCAGGCCCGTGGCCTGCGTGAGGTGCGGTGGTCCATGCTCACGCAGACGAGCCCCTCGTGAGGGCAGACTGCCACTGGACGAGGGGGTGACTCAGGCCCGCTTCCAACCGCGAGCATCCGGCCTAGCCGGGCTGACACAGCTTTCGTTGTCACACTGCCTGTCGCGCTTCGTGGCTGTGCCTCAAGTGCCGTGGGCTCTTGCGTCCAGAGGCAAGCTGGGCATCAGTGCGTGGAGCCTCTACCGTGGACGCTGCCCTCCCTGTGCTCCTCCCCTACAGAGTGGGCAGCCTTCCCTGAAGCTGCTCTCGGAGCAGATCCTGGGCCTCAGAGTGCAGCAGTCAGAGCACTGCTCGGTGAGTGCCCTCCCAGGGCTCGTGGCCGTCAGGCCAGCCCCACTCGGCCCAGCAGCCGTGCCACCTTGCCCGCTCCACTCCGACCACAGCTTGTGACCAGGCAGCGGGGTTGCCTGCTCGTGGTGGGGTCATGCACAGGGCACATGGGGGAGCGGGGGCGGCCGCCCTCCCTGCAAACTGCCCTGGCGCTTGTGTGGCTGTGGCCCTGCCTTGTCACCTGCTGGCACCCTCACGGCCTGGCCCGTGTCTCTAGATTCAGGACGCCCAGGTGGCCATGCGGCTCTACGTCCTGGCAAGGAAGGAGTGGGAGAGCGGCTTAAAAGGCAAGCAGAGGACGCCCACTGCCAGGCCCGATGCCCACTCCCGCCACGAGGCCTGCTGACACCGTGCTCTGAGGGGCCCCGAGGGGGTCAGTTGTCTGCCTGGGCAGGAGGCGGGACTGGGGGACCTGCCGGGGCCCATACCTCCATACCAATCCCAGGGGGGCCGGGGCAGGAAGTCCTGCAGCACCATGAGCACGGGTGCCCAGCCGTCCTGCAGCTGGTCCTCGCCTCCCCCCGCGCCACAACCCCAGTGGGCTGTGGGCCAGCGGCCAGCCCAGGCCCCTCCGGAACCGGGAGTGTGGCCGACTGCTTTACATCTGGCCAGTCTCCCTGCTCAGACTCTGGAAAGGCCACCTGCCAGCCGTCTGCCGGACCGACCAGCCTGGCCCAGACCCCACAGTCTTTCTGGAACCAGTGAGGATGAGAGAAGCTGGTGACTGGCCACTGGGAGCGGGGACAGCGGCCCACAAACACACAC